TCACCCCTTTCCACCCCTCTCCACATTCACACCCTTTTTTTTCCACTATAAGAAAAAGAGTGATGGGTTCAACAACCCCCCAGTTCACATGTCCACATTCTATGCACCCTCCTGTCCTCTCCTAGTCACTGGGCCCCAAAAAAAAAAAAAAAAAAAAAAAACTGTTCTCGTCGTCCCTTCCAACCTCTTCCCCTCGATTCGCAAAATATCCTTGTCCCTTCTGCATCTCCCTCTCAATGTTTCTTTCGCTGACCCGAGCCACCCAAATTTTAGGAGTAGGCAATGAAGAAATCCTGCAAGGCTGCGGCCATCTACTGGCGGTCTAACCCCTATCCTGTCATCTTACCCCCATCCTGTCATTTCAACCCCTCCTATCCTGTCATCTTTACCCCCATCCTGTCATTTTAACCCCTCCTACCCTGTCATCTTAGCCCCATCCTGTCATCTTACCCCGATCCTCTCATGTAATCCCACCCCAACCCTGTCATCTCACCCCTATCCCTATCGTTACCCTCTGCACAGCCGAGTCGGTCCTGCTACTGTCCTTTCCATACGTCACCGATTCTGTCCTGACACCCTGGCTTCGGTGATGAGCCGCACGCTGCTCACTTGCTCGCCCCAACACACTACTCTGCCTTTAGCTTTTTTCTCTCTCTCCCCGCCTGACGTGACGAGGAGTCATGCCAGATGCAGTCTGTCTGCCCGTCTCCGGGATCGTGCCTTCCAGTTACTTGCAATTGCAAGACGGCGCTCACTTCTCCAGGTGCTTTGCTTTGCTTCGTTTGTATCTGACTCAAATGCCATTTCCCTCCGGCTCCTTGAATGCGGGCGCTCACATCCGAATATGCTTTGTTCTGTTCATGCCGACCCTGAGACACCGTAAGGCACCTCATAATTCCCTCAGACTCTGCAGTAGGGGCAAATCAGCTGGAACGTACATTCTCTCCGTCTCCCAGGCCTGATCTCAGAACAACCCAAGCAGAGAGGAAACAACACAACGCAGAAGAGGGATGATAGTTGATCCGTCAACCCAGTCCATGTGGCTGAATGGTACGCACACACACATAACTGTGAGCAAACATTACACGAGTTCGAATCCTGATGGAATCAGATGAACACAATAAAGTTAGAGGCTATGATGGTTAATATCCCCTCTTAAAGAAAAAAGAAAAGTGCTGCTCCCCACAAAAAGATCGGAGCCTGGGTTTGTTAAAAAAAAAAAAAAAAAACTCAGGGTAACTGCAACACTCTTTGTTAGTACATGAATCACACACTTAACTAGAGCGAAAGCGTAGTCTTTCTCTTGGAGGAAAAAAAATAGAGTTTTTTTTTTTTAACTTGTTTTTTTTTTCTAAAAAAATCACCTTTACCACCTAGCCACCACTACTCCTAAGCCTATGCAGGGGACCCCATCAAGCATGGCTACCTCGCACAATCATTGAGATGCATGTTGGCCCTGTGCCTTAATCGGCATGTGGTCAGGGAGGAGGGTGGGCTCGCCGGAGGGGGTGTCTAGACCGAGCATTTTGCCAGTACCCGTGCCTCCCATATACGCCCCCCGAGCCATTGAATAACAGCAGTGTCTAAGGCCAACACTCTCCCACACACACTGCACAACACACACACACACACACACACACACACACACACACACACACACACACACACGTGATGGTACAAGGTCCTACCGTATAGTAGCGTATACCGAACAGGGGAGGAAGCCAACTATCTCAGTTGGTTGGCACCAAGCATGCCCCAACCAAGCAGCCTCGCTCAATTGCGTAGGCACGCAAGTGGCATTCAGGAGAAAGAATACTTTGAAGTACCTTTTTTTTTTTTTTTAAATAACAAACAAGAATTTAAGAATTGCCAAATTTGGTCCATTTCTCGATTCATGAATCCATCCTTGCCCAGGGGCCATACTAATCTCTCTCTCTCTCTCTCTCTCTCTCTCTCTCTCTCTCTCTCTCTCTCTCCTGTCTCTTATACACATCTAGATGTGTATAAGAGACAGGTGTGTGTGTGTGTGTGCCCTCTTATAGTTGTCTAGCTGTGAGTCAAGTGGTTTGTTGGGATTCTTGGAGTAGGAAGCTGTCAGACAGAGCCTGCTCCGACCGTCTTTCCAGCCCGCTCAGAATCTGCCTAGAGCACCGTTTTCCTCCTGTCCAAGGCAAGTCTGGTCTAATGCCAATTTGGCAATTTCAACTGTGAACGCTATATTCCTGCAGGCCGGTTATTTGGCGCACCCTTTTGTACCTTTCCAGTCTGACTCTGTTTGAAATTTGAATCCTCATTTGAATTTTGAAATTCGAACCACGATAACCCAATGACTGCAGACTACCTTCTTCCCCCGAATACAACGAACGGTCATTATAACTGTATTTAGACTGAATCATACCCCAAATACAGCTATAATTACCGTACGTTGTATTCGCGTGAAGAAGGTACTCATTCGGTACGCCTGTTCCACTCAGCTTAGCGGTTGACTGGTTAACCCAACTTAACCGGTTATTTACGCTCAGGTTACGATGGTAACTGAATGTCTGCAGGCATTCAGTTACCATGACTAACTACAGTACAGGGCCTACAGGCCGATTCCAGCCCCACTCACGTGCTGCTGCGCAGAGGAAGCCTCGTATGTTGATGGACCTCGAATGGACGAAAAAAAAAGGGGGTGCGAAAATGGCAATTTGATGCAAGCACAAAGGGGGTGGGGTGAAAATGACACCTCGATGCAAGAAAAAGGGGGCGTGAATCACTCATGGACAGGGGTTAGGTGCAACCCTGAGGGGATAGGCTCAACCCATAACTCTTAGGGCACTCTAGCTTCGGTGCATAGATGTGGATTGCTACGCGACAAGATCGAACTGAACGTTGGATAGATATAGGTGTGGGGCTATAGGTAGTGTGAGGGTATATTTGAGAGAAGAATATAGCTTAGTTTTTCAAATGAATGAAAAGGAAAAGGGGCTGTGAAAAAGATGGGAAGGTGGAGGAATGAGAGATAAGGGAGAGGGAGAGGGAGAGGGAGAGAGTGGAGTAGATTCAGTGGAAGGAAAGAGAAAGGAAGATGAAGAACAGAAAGGGGAATGAAACAAGAGGGAGAAAAAGTAATAAAAGGCAGGAGGATTGAATACCAATTGGGCCATCATTGTTAGTGATGATCGTGCGTCCCTTTCATCTGTCACCTCCCTCGCAAAAGGAATCCGAATGTCTCGAATGACAATCTGCAAAGAAAAAGAAAAGAAAAAAACACAACGTCACACATGTCATACCTGTTCTCTGTTGATGTAAGGACTATAAATGAGTGAGTAAATTGCAATATGTCCTCAAACAGAACTGCCTACGGTAAACCGTAGGCAGAGAGGGAGAAGAGGACAACAAACGAGGGGCTGTGAATAGCCTTTTTCGTCGGAGTTTCACCAACTCATCAGGAGGCTGTGCCCTCTACAGTCTGATGATACTGAAAATGATAATCCACCTTAACCCAGGTTGCAGTTAAGCATCAACGACTGCCGGACAACTGATACCCCTCAGAGGAGGTGGGGACCACCAACCACTGCCCGCAAGGTACCTGTGACAAAAATCAAAGCCGACTATCACTTGACAGAATGGAAATTGTTGGACAGTTCAATGGTATGCCCGACAATTGCCCTCAATTTCCACTGGTGGTGGGAACCACCAACCACTGCCCTGAAGGTAGTTTGGACAGTTCAGTGGTTGGTGGTGGGGACCACCAACCACTGCCCTCAAGGTACCTGTGACGGAAATCAAAGCCGACTATCACTTGTCGTCCGTTCCACGACCATAGGCATACCATGTAGAAAACAAATCACAGAACAGACGACAAGAACGCCGACATGGTCTGCGAATCACGGACCTACGATGATTTATTCCAGCGCGTAACGACCTGCAGGATCAATGATGGAGAACTGTGCCGATTTCTGAGTTTTTCTGCTGGATTGTGTGTCTGCTGAGAATGCCTGCTTTTTGCTGAGATTTCTAAGTCTGTGTGTGATCGTGTTGGCTGATAACCGAGTGCCCGTCAGAGTGCACGTCTGTCTGAGCATGTGTGTGGCCCGCCAGGGCACTTGTGTGTTTGTGAGGCCCACGGGGCGGTACTTACCTGTGGCCGTGACTTGTAAGGGTTGCGGAGGGGAAACAGTTAAGTGGCCGAGGGGGTAGCTTAGGGCCACCCGAGTCGCGGGTAGGCTGGGCCGGTAGCACTCAAGCAGCAGTAGGCCTAGCAGAAGAAGACAAAAAGTTTAGGATTTTTAGAGGCCGAGCACCCAGTAGCCCTAGGTAGGTGGGTACCAGTCTCTAGGGCCTGTGCGGACAATAGCCGACCTGCAATGATGTTTCCCTTCGAAAGGAGGAGGGAACCGGTTGCTTGCGAGGCCGAGCGGCCAGGAAGTCACCGCCCAAGAGGCAAGTTGCCTCGCTATATCTCCAGGGAGAGCGCCACATACTCTCCCTCATTTGCGGTGTGGATGTTTGCACGTCATGCTGCTTGAGCGCACGCTAGTTCTCAGAGCGCCGCTGGGTGGAGCGCTAGGTGTTCAGCGCTAGGGCGGAGGAAGAAGACCGCGAGCACTCACCTTGGCTATGGTGGAGCATCACCGGTGGGAGGGGAGGGAGAAAGGGAGTGAAGGAGGAGAGTGGCGAGGTGCTTACCTGGCTACGGAGGTCGGCATCTTCATCTTCTCGGTTGGCCCTGCTGCTGGAAGGCCCTCGTTAGGGTGCGCTGCTACAAGAAGGCTTCGAGGCAGAGTCAGGCATGGCGGCCTGATGTGCAGCGGACATAGCTGCTTTTGCATTGTCTTTTGAACATATCAGGGCTTGGTCCCTGATGTCCGCCATAGCCAGTACTTGCCAGAGGAGGAGGAAGATGGGATTCGTGGCTGTGGTGGACTGCATATTGAGGGATTCAGACATTGGTTTTGGCTCAGCCATTCATTGTTATCAACTTCATTATTACTATTACTGTTGAATAAGAGAGGTGGAGATAAGGAGAAGGAGCTTGATTGGTGGAGAGAAGGGGGATTAGTCATTGCTCTTTAGCTGGCGTGCATCTTCTTTCTTTCTTCTTCTTTTTGCTTTCTTTCTTCTTTTCAAGTTCATTCATTTCTTTTCGCAATTGAATGGCATTGCATTTCCTTGTGTATTTGCGCTTTGGAATCGGCCAGGATCGTAACGGGGGGGGGAGGAGGGAATCTGGAACAAATTGACGTCTGTCTATCTCACGGAACCAATCCCTAAAACATTGTGTAATAAAAATGATAAAATAGCTGAACTGGCAGTAAAAAGCCTAAAAGCCTGTTTAGTAAAAGGCTAAGAGTAATTAAATAAATAAACAACAACAAAATAGATTTAATGGAACAAATAGATCAATCACCTAGGCTACCAGCTGGGCCGCCTGGGTCACCCTGTTTTCCCGGGTGGCTCGGCGGTGCAAGGACCAGGGAAGGTCAAAGCAATAAGGGAAAAAAAAAAAAAAAAAAAAAACCCTATGTTATGCCGAAAAAAAAAATTGAACAACTTTTCCCTCAGGGTCACATCAAAATTCTTTACCAAATTTAAAATAAAAAACTAAAAAGTACTTCATTTTTATTATTTATTTTCATAGTTGCGGCGCACCATGGTGCGCCGGTTTGCGCACCGCGCACCGCACGGCGCACCGCACGGTGCACCGTGGTGCCCCGCACACCAAAAAAGAGGGGTGGTGGATTTTTATTCTTTTTTAGGGTTTTCGTTCAGATGACGGGCCCCCACCCCGGCAAAATTGATGACCCAGGCGAGCGACTCGGGAAACCGGCCGCGCCCCACCTCCCAAAAACTTTTTGGAGAAGGGGAACGGCCGTTTTCCGGAGTCACGCGCCCCGTCTCTGGCGGCAGGCAGCGGGAGACCGGCGGGCAGCCATGAAGGTGGGCGTCCACCACCTCTCTCTCTGTCTCTCTCTGTCTCTCTCTCTGTCTCTCTCTCTCTCTCTCACACACACACACACACACACACACACACATACACACTGCGCACTGCGGGGGAGGGGTGCTGGTTGCAGGGTAGGGGGGGGGAGGGGGCATGTTTAATTTATTTTTTTTCTCCGGCGCACTGGGCGCACTGGTCGCAGCGCGCGCACTGCACACTGCGCACCGCACATCGCACAGTGCGCGTGCTGCTAAACCAGCGCACTGCGCACCGGCGCGCACCGTGCAGCGCACATGTGTGCCGCAACTATATATATTTTTTTGGCCGGGCAAGGCAAGTGGTCCCGAGCCACTCTGGTAGCCTAGTCAATCACTCAATAAACAAATATTAATAATACACAAATAATTCTTTTTTTTTTTTTTTTGATAACGGACTGATGTAAAGAAGGACAGCCTGTGAACGGTGTGAAGGAGATGACATTGTATTTTTACACCATTGTTGCTGTCCCAATATTCCCAATAGTGGACTACTGGGATCCCAATAACCATTGAATATAGAGATGGAAGTGGACAGCTGGAAAAGTGTAGCCGCAAAGTTCATGACAACGTAAACAGAGGAAGCAAAACAAGAATCAACGATGCGCTGGGGCCCAAAAAATAAATAAAGAACCAGCAATTTCTGGGTTTTCAGAGCTGAAAAGGTCTCAGCTCAGAATAAGACAATCCTCTCCCCTCCCCCACCACCCCCACCACCCACCCCCCACCAAAACAAACAAACAAACAAACAAACAAACAAACAAACAAACAAAAACAAAAACAAAAACACAGAATCCCTTAGGACAGCCCTCCCTCAACAAAGGGCAAGTCAGTAAGCAGTCCAAACTTCAAAGGGTCCAAAGCTGAAAGTGTTCGAGCTCAGTAATGGCCATTTCTGGGTTTTCCATAAGAAGTAGGAAGGAAAGTATTTGAGCTCAGGACCACAAAATCATTCAACTTATGAAAACTCGACACTGGTCAGCGCTGAGTTTGGAAGAAAGATACATAATCAGCCAAATTCTCATTTGAAACAATACCAATGGTAGCTCGACAATGAAAATTTATAGACGCTAACGTGCCTGAGGGTAACCACAACCTGACGGTTGCCTCATGTTTTCGAATCAATTGAGCAAAAGTCCCTGCAAACCCGAACGAATTTGGCACCTTGCCCTCGCAACCATTCAACATTATGAATCAAAGTACCCACTCATATGGTGGTTTCTGGGTTTTCAAAGCTGAAAGGCTGTCAAAGCATCTGAGCTCAGAATAGTGCTACCCCTTACAGGAAGGTGCCCCTCCGTAGAGAGCACGAGTATTTGACAAGTCTAACTTTTTTTGTTTTAACTTCTTTTTTTTTTCGGTTCAAGTTGCCGACTCTGACCTGAGGATCATTGCAGAGAACTCTCATGTCGAATCCCAACCGGTCAACCCATATAAAAAATGCATCCTTCACCTGCGAAGAAATTACATGGCACACGAAGAGATTACAGCACACACCATCCCACCAAACCGACCATGTAAAGGAATTGAACATCAAACTTGGCCCATCAGTACATCTGCCACACACCCCTCAGATATCCAAAAAAACAGGGGTCTGCATGCTCGAATGAAACACGCTGAGAGCATACTCGCACTACCGCCTAAGCCCGAACATAACGCACCTTGAAAATGAACGTATACAAGGTATGTTTCTGGCCCAATACAGTCAAAATGAGGGTGCGTTGTATTCGGGGGAAGACGGTAGCACAATCTTAAATGTGTCTGACCCTAAGTACGGTGCTGCTTGGATGTATGGGACCACAATTATGTCCAGGAATAAGTCAAAAGTCTTAGTGTGAGTATGCCCTGAGTCAGAGCCCTCGTAACCCAAAAAGAAGATCTTGGCCCCTTGAAGCACGCCATTTGGCACCCAACGCTTTTGCCCCCCACCCCCCCAAAGCAGGCCATTTGGCACCCAAATGCATGGGACCTTAACCCCCCACTAGCTCCTCAACAGACGGGCCAAGCCCAGTGGACACCTGTGCCAGAAGATCATGAATCCAATGCACTGACTGAAAAAGGGAAGGCGTCCTTCCGGATATCCGTTAAAATTGGAAAGATACAGAGAGAGAAGATTAGCATGGCGCCTGCGCAAGGATGACACCTATAAATCGAGATGTGGTCCAAATTTCAAAAAGAAAAGAAAGGGCAGCTCCCCCGGTAAGCAGGTTTGGTTGCAAAAGCCGGTGGTGGGTTAACGGGGCCCGGAACTTGCACAACACGAAAAAGGTCTCAACCGCCGATACAAAATCATTGCGCCAAGTAACAGAAAAAAAACCTATTAGACACTGTGCCAGAAAGGGAATTCAATTTTTTCAGCAGCTAATCAGCCCAGTACCTCAGAGCCTTGTTCTCCCAATGTGCTTTTCTGCCTAGCGCCCCGAAACAACACGAACCATTGCGGCGCGTGATTTGCCTGGCAACGCCAGCCTTCTTCCTCTGGACACCATGACCATTTCCACTGCACCAGGTCAAGCAGGTTGTGCACAGAAAGACAGGGCCGGGCACCGATGGCTAAGACCACAACCATCGCTGGACTTGACCTGCCAAGCCAAAGGAGCTCAGGTACGCTGTTGGTGTCTGGAAGTCTATCAGGGGCGGGAGAAGGGGGGGTACAGCAGAAAGCAGAGGTAAAATGGGCAAGCAGAGGTACAAAAGTCACAGAGGGGAAGGGCTTCAGGATAAGACGAACGTGAGGCAGTATCACAGAGATTTCGAGCACTGTCCACACACACACACACACACACACACACACACACCATTTCTTGTGGACTTGTGAATAGCGAGCATCACACGCACCCACACCCACCCACCCACCCACACACACATCCTCGGCAGAATGTCAAGGTTCAACCTCCTGATGAGTTGGTGAAAGTCCAATGAAACAGTCTTGCACAGTTATGCTTTTTTTTTGTGTATAGCGGATAT